TACACTTCTGAACAACATATATTATGATAAATATTGGGATGCTGTTAACTTGCAGGATTATAAACATAATTTGATATTTAGTAACTTTTTTTATGTTTGTCTAAATAAAATCATTGTAATATGAATTTTGTTAAAGTGGTTTTAAAAACGTCAATAAGAGAATTACCTTTTCAATCTCTGGTACTGTTCTTGAACAGTAAATTAATTTTGATGTGTCCAATGGATGGGCTTTTTGGTAAGAAATAATGAGTGATAGCAATGATACAGTCTTTCCTGTACCTGATGGCATCTCAAGGACACAGTGACCCTAAAATAAAAGAAGTGTTAATATAAATGTTTGCACACCAATGACCTTTTGAGTCCGATGAAAATAAATATATCACTTTGCTTTGTGAAAAACTAAAAAGTTTTATCTCCATTAACATAATAAATAATAAATAATCATCAAAATAATAATTTTGAAAAATATATAACCAAAACTTACTTTTGCATCTAAAGATCTTTTAAGTTCTTGCATGTAAGTATACTGCTCAGGATAAATGAAGTCATATGGAAAATACACCAATAAACCATCAATATTCAATCTGTACACACAATAAAAATATGACAGAAATATTGTAATAAGATTAAGGAAATAGCTAGCATATTAGATTAGATAAATCATTATTATTATAACGTCAACGTATGTATTGTATATGGTAGACACTAAATGTGTGCTCACTTCATGCTGAAATTTGTTCTATTCCATATAAAAACAGAGAGGAATACTGTCGTAGCGTTTGACTGTTGATATCTGCTAATCACATGTGTTGACTTTGCAGTTATCGCGTAACCTTTAACCCGGAAGTTTTAATATGACCCTCTAGTTTCTTTGATTTGAAGATGTAATATTGTTGCGATTCTAGAGTTTGGGTGCAAGTACTTGGGTTATAATTGACCGTTTAAGGTACTATTATTATATGGTAATAAAAAGAAAACATTGTAAGAACTGTTGTGATAATTATTTTGAAAAAAATAAAACGAATGTAATTTGAAATACTTATAATAGTAACCTAGGGAGTCTTTTATTCATCATGGCTTCGAAAAGTGCAGTTTTAGCGAAGTTCTGTAAATGTTCGTATTCTGAAGCTCTTCATCCATTATACGTTGGTATATATCAGAATCATATAACTAGTATATTAGGCGAAAAAGCTGAAAACGGGTCTGTGGTAGCTATAACCCAGGTACGAAGTCCACATGGATGGGTTCCGCGAAAATCTGGTCACTGTGTCAGTGAACTTTTCGTCTGCTTGCAAATCATCGACACTGAGTGCCCACTCGACTGCGGAGCTCCGGTAACCCGAGATGGTATCCAAACTAACGAGGCAGTTATACTTCATACAAGCAATTGTTTCCATACGCATTATAAATTAGAATCGGATTTCACAGTTCTTATTAGACCAGTTCGTGTGTTTCCTCTACAAAAAGTTGTGTTGTCTGCAAAAAGCCGTGCAAGTTATGAGTGGTGCAAAGGTCATTCGTTCAGCACTGGTATGTTGGTGGCGAGTTGCAAGCAGAAACTACTTGCCAGGGCTGGAGATATGCTTCTTGTTCCATTGAGTACTATGACGAATGGTAAAGAAAACAAACAGCAGGAAGAAATTTTTCAATTATGCTCGAATTTAGTCAGTCTTGAATGCGAACCTTGTAAGCAAGGGACAATAACTGTGCACACATCAGTGGTTGTTATGCCATTCGAAGAAAATAACATTACTGAATCACAAAGTCTTGAAATCAGCCCCAGTTGTGATGACGACCTCCCTGTCCTTCTGTCTGATTTCACTAGTTGCCTGAATACCGTAGATTTCACTGCATCCCTTCTCTGTTTGGAATCAGTGAAAGCTGTTGAAGCCAGCAATACATTTACCAAGATAAAGTCCTCAAAACAGTTTACTCAGACTGTAACAACAGCATTAATTCTGAAACCTATTGTTGTGCCTCAATCTGATGATCTCCAACAAATTACCAATGCTGCCACTTGCTGTACAGATTTAGGTCAGGTTGACCTATCAATATGTGTTGGTGTCACTCAGAGTACACTGATAAAGTTACACAATTACAATGGTGGATGGGTATCGCTGTATATGGAGGAAGCAGAGAAGGAAGGTTCCATCATTTTGGAAGTAGAGACAACTGTACAAGAGAAACAGATTCGGTCAGTAAATAGCAGGAAACCACAGCTAGCTAGAGTGTTTGTTGTTGGAGATGAAAATGGTCAGAATGAATCTGAGGGAGATGTAATGACATTTCAGGACAGCTGCATATACCTGTCTCCAGTAATGTGGTTCAATATACAGCAGCAACCATCGTCTTTGATTCAGTGTGACAGCCAGATTGTTGTGAAGGTTAGCATTTCTTTTGCATCTAATTTCATAAAATGTCTTGATGATAGGATAATTAGTGAGGGCATTTATCTTCCCATCTTGGTTTCTAAATAATTAGATTTGCTGCTTGAATATTGTGCACACATCTCATGTCAGTCTTGAGGATGAGTTATTTTGCATTCGTTAATCAAAATGAACCTTTTTTTTTATATTTTATAGAATCTATAAGTATATCTATTTATTCTATGAGAATTTCAGAGCTCTATCATAAATGAAAAGGCTTAAAATAGTGGTCAAAATTAACAACCAATAAATAACCAATAAATCACACAGTCAAATATGAAATAGTTTTAAAACATTTTGAGATGCTTACCTACAATTTACCAGGCTCAAAATGTCACAAAACATTTCATGACCATTTAAAATAATAATGCAGCAACTCAATGGGTTTTTTTAGAAAAAATGAACAAGAGGGAGCACACACAGGCAATCGACTTGGAAATGCCATATCAGAAGGTTTCTGCACTGTTTTAATGGTGTATCTATTGCCATTGAAATATTTTTGGAGTAATTTCAGTCTATTTGGTGTCCAGACACATTGTCAGCTGGTGTTGCTAGGAAGAAAAATATATTTGAGAAAGATTTCATGTTGTACGGCAGCACTGAAGTGTGTGGCCCAAGAAATATATTTATAACTTGAAAGCTCAATTGGCAATTCGGAAAGAGGGCGCCAGCCGAGAGTATCAGGGCGCTGCATCCCTGTTCCCCGGTTTAGAAAATACCCTGAACTCCATTAATCATCCATTGATATGCAAATTAATGTATATCTTTATTTTAATTCTGACATCAAAATTATCAATTTAAGTGTTTTGCAATTTACTACAGTAAATTTTCAAGATGTCGTTTCAGAATGTTGACAGGTAAAGGTATAACATACAAAATGGTAAAAGTATAACTGAAATATTTAAAATTTAGTAGCCTGCATCTGTAACCACATTGAGTTGTATATGAGGTAATGCTGTCATTACAATTCAATATCAGTGATGGTAAATTATTAACAACTGAATGTTTTTTATCAACAGTCTGTAAATCCTGATACTTCTGATAACAGTGAGAGTGTACCAGTGGCTAAAGAATTACATATTGCTTTAGTCAAGTCACCTTTTTATTCAATGTACAGTAAGTTTGATGATGCTGTCAAGAAACACTTCAGTATTTCCAGGTAATATTTCATTACTTTTAAGTTATGAGAGAATAATACATAATTATGCATTTCAAAGGCATCAGTGTTCTTTTGGGCAAAATATTCAGTTTTAGGTTATTCTTTCATTTCATAGTGGACATTATGTTTATAAGAATCTGGGGAAAACATTCCACATTTGTATGATACTTGAATCATTACTTGAATCATTACTTGAAATAGCAGGTGAATATGTGTTTGTGGTACGTAATAATATTTTAAACTCATATTTGTATTGTTGTATTGTTGAGGTGTCACAATGTCAAGCTGTAGTCACTTCCTTTTATAATACATGAACTACTAAGTCGTTTCTTTTTATGTTCATGTGAAAAGTCTATATTATAAACAAGTGTGAAAATTTACTTTGTTTAAGATTGGTGAATGTAGATGACGTCATATGTGTGGCACTCAATAATCAAGTGAATTTTAAAGATGAACAGCCAGATAATAACTCTATACCTGATATCATATATTATAAAGTTATGAAAGTAATTCCAGTTGTGGAAGATGCCATAATGTACAGAGTAGATATGAATCTAACATCAGTATTTCAGGTATGTCAATGGGTTTAATCAGACACTGAAAGTTATGCAAGTTGCATTGTTAGGTACTCCTGTGAATTCAAAAATATATTTTTAACTTTGTGTAGACAACCTTGTGGAGAATTTCTTAGATATTTGATACGCAGGTAACTTGGATGATTGGTAACTTGGTGTATTAATTTTAGTGAATATTTTTGAAAATTTATTATCAATTTTATTTGAAATGGCTAATCTGATTGCTTTCATATTTTATATATTTGTGGTCCTCTATCAGATTTGTTCATTTTTTGACTATATTATAAATGGTTTAATGAAAAAATGGCATGAAAAGTTGTATATACAATCAATAACAAGTTAAAAGTGGCAAACAAAAATCTGCCATTTTGATTTGAAGTTGTGTTTTGTTGTAGGAGGTGCCAATTTCTAGCTATGTTCCAGTAACTATGGATAGCTACATTAAAAACAATCATGATAGCATATGGAAATCACCTTTACCAGCTGGTCTCAATAAATATGTTGATATGATGGAGGACTACTTGGTCACATTTCTACAGCCAAGGTAACTCAGTAATAGAATGGATTGAATAAATTACTGGTTGTTACAAACTCAATAATTGTTCAATATACTAGTACTCAAAACAAAAATTGGTTTATTATTCATGCACAAGTCAATTTGCTCCTTTCTCCTTAGCCTAGAATATATTGCCTATTAAAGTACAATGCTAGTAATATCAGTACCTATTTAGATCCATAGAAATGTCATACACACTGTGGGATGTCATAGAAATCTACAGATGATTGCATTGTTTACTGACTCTCATGAGATATTAGTGCCACATAACTTGTAGGCTGCTTTCACTATTACTTCACCATTGAGTATTGTTCAAGAGTTCCAGTTTGAAAAATTTGCCAGCAATAATCCATTCGTTTAGAAAGCTATTTTAGTACCTGTTATCCTTTTTTATCTAGATTTGGATGTCACAAAATACTGCCTTGTGTTTTAGTCAGTGGACCAAATGGTATTGGAAAAACAACGGTGATAAAATCCTTAAGTCGACGTCTGAATTTACATATGATGTCTGTCAATTGTCATGACCTGTGTGGTGATACAGCTGCCTCTACTGAAGCCAAGTTAAAAAACACATTTCACCAAGGTATGGTACATGTACATGTACTTGCAAATAGCACTATTTAAAGTGCTCTTTTTGCTTGGAAATAAAGTCATTAAAGTGTTAGAATCTTTTTCTATATTGAACTCAATAATATTGCAATATACTTAAGTAACACACTTTAAACTACTTTATTAGTCCCCCTTCGGACACATTCGTGTGTTGCGCGGACTTGTAACTTAGACATGGCTGGACCAATCACAATCAAACTACACACATACATCATACATAATATTATACTTATGCATATCAATTTGTTTCATGATCTGATTCAAAATGGCCGAAAGTCAGCCATTTTTGTGCTAACAAATCATCAAAAATCAAGCATTTCTGGCATTCCAGAACTGGATCTTGGTTTATGGATGGATTTTGTTCAAACTTGGAACATACATTAAAGATTAGGGGTTACTGATGCATGTCATTTTATTTTTCAGATCGGATTCAAAAATGCTGACTAGTGGCAATTTTGTTTTAATAAATGCACTTCTAGAGCCATATCTCTGATATGCTTTGACTGATTAGTTCAAATTCAATATATTCGTTATACATCATGTTATTGATGTATTCAAAATGGCCGACTGGTGACCATTTTGTTTTAATTTAATGCTGTTCCAGAGGAATGGTTCTCAATATGAACAAGTACTCGTTTGACGATCAGATACAAGATGTCAATCATTTTTAAAATAATGTTACAAAAACATCATAATCAAGCATCATCTTCTGAATCCATATTACTATGAACAAATCTATATATCTAAAATTTTATAACGAACAGGACTGTGCCATGCATGGCTTGTTTTAATAGCTGGAATTAATTTTTGCTGAAAGAACTTTTTGGATGATTTGTATGGAAATTCCCACTCACTTTGGATTATTTGAATGTAAAATATAGAAAAAAAGGTACATTTCGTTGGGTTAATTTTTCACTGACTCACCCCTGAAGTAAAAATAGCGAAAATAAAGTACATTTGTATTCTGCAATATAAGGTTTTATACCAGATAGCAAAACATATTTCATTGATTGATTGAACATATTCATGTGTTGATAATGTTTCACTTTATTTGACAGCTAACATGTGCTCTCCATCTATTTGTCATCTTAAAAACATTGATGTGCTTGCAAAGAACAAAGATGGAACTGGTGAAGGTAGCTTTTATGTTAATATCAAAACATATCAGTGTTCAGAATGAAATACTTAAAAGTTGACATCTTATACTGGTAATATGAACTAGTTTGGTTCTGGTTTTCAACATTTTATAATCATCAAATACTTAATTTGACCAAATTTTAAATTATAGACAGTCCTAACGAATACGAATATTATACAGTACAAGGATTGCTGCCGCTGCCCCGCACGTTAGGTATTCCCCCCTGTTCGCCTCCGCGCGTGTCCGGGCGTTAAATAGTAGGACCAGTCCTGGGTGTTCATCTTTCAGGTTTCACCACATTAACTTCCCCTTTAAAATGGACCTATTCACTACGTTCATTTACCCACCATAGACTCCGGTCAGTCTATTTTGAACTGTAGGCATTAATCAGCGATTCTGCCAGTGACGGAGAGATAGAATCCAGGTCAGGGGAAGCCCCATGACCTCAAGATTCTTTTACCCCTTACGTCACGAACCCACGTGACCGAGGCCACCTGGCAGCGCCACAGGTAGCCGTCCTTCACTCTTAATTTCTCTCCGCCTCGAGTGGAGATGAAATCTAGCGAGCTCTGCTGGATCGCCTGCTTTTTTTCCTGTCCGGATTTATAGCTTGGGTTGTTGCCGCTGCTCGGCATCCGACATGGTAGCTGGTAGGATAAGTTTTCCTTGTCTTTTTTTTACCCTCGTGTCGTTTTCCCCCTTGCGTATAGTATTTTTCACAGCAAAGAAATCAAAATCCGGCGCCACTACGTAATCACATGTTGATTTCATGGCGGCACCTTTTACAACTGTAATTCGTCTCCCTCATGCATGTCTTCTTTTATTTTTAATGTATTTAGCAATATATCGATGTAATGACAGCTCCAAGGCTCGCTGCCTTTTTCTTCCGGTCTCCTCGTCTTTCGAACCGACCGTACAGTGGTTTATTCAGAATCTACCAGCATAGAACCCGCATCCGAGATGCTTTGTTGTGGCTACGTGTAGGTTCCGGGTTTTTTTTTTTTTTTTGCTGAGCGTGTTTTTTTCACTGGAGTTCTGAGGCCTGAGATTTTCTTTCAGAGCCATCAAAATCGCTGACACTGACCGCGTCACAGCAAGGTCCCGCGTCCAGTAAACAAATCGGTAAAGTGAGTTGCGTGTTTTGCATGAATGGAAAGTCCTCACGCTCGGCTACCGGTACTTCATGTACCGGGACGTCGAGTAAGAGGCCCGACGGCGGAGGTACCGATATTTTCTCGGTCTCCCCCGCTGATCGGAGGGCATCCTCACAGTCTGTTTTTTCAGGCGGTGTTTTTTACCCGATTTTTACCGGCTGCAGCGAGGCTGTGCCCCTGGAGGCTTTCCTCCTATGGGGCCCGTTGCGGGTCTCTTCGTGGACCCTTCCTCGCACGGCGCCGAGTTTGCCTCCGAGTTGAGGGCTTTGGTCGAAGGACTGTCGGGGCAATTGCGTCCCTGGCAGGCCGGGTAGATCAGACCAGTCGGAGCGAGCTGTCTCCACTGTGTCCCCTCGGTGGGCAAGCAGGAAGAGACACGAAAGCATGTTTGCATTCAAACACGTCTCTTCCGGGGAACCCCCGTTCCCAGTCACGGCTCTCCCACTATTTTGGGGGGTGGCCGAGGCTCAGGCTGATTGCACCGGTCCTTCTCTGGATCCGCGGGCACTGAATGCCAACGGGGTGCTGGCAGCCAAGTCTCCGATCTCGGGGCAG